GTGTGTGTGTGTGTGTGTGTGTGTGTGTGTGTGTGTGTGTGTGTGTGTCCCTGCCTTCTGGTTGTTTTGTTGTTTTTAAATTTAACCGTGGAGTTTTTACCAGAAGTTCTGAAGTTCAGTTAATTTGAGAAAGAAGCTGAACTTTCAGGAACTTTTAATCAGCTTAAGTCAGTGTTTTTGTAAATATAACAGTAAACACAAGTGGTCAAACCATTTTCTTTTGACTGTTTTCTCAGTAAGGGACAATAAAACACCCAAATCCAGTGTTTGTGGCAGAAATTTACATTTCATTCAGTTTGAACCTTCAGGTTTGACCCTGTAGGATTTTTATTAACATTTATCCTGGAGATGTAGTTTATGCTTATTTTAAAGACATTAATACATCTTTGAAACTCTCACGGGCCACTTAAAATGCCGTGTCAAGCCACATTTGGCCCYCGGGCCTTGAATTTGATACATGTGGACTGTTTCTTATATTTTTTTCAAAGCAGCTGTTTAAAGTAAAACCTGATCAGAAATATAAGTAGAAACAGGACAGTTTAATTTCCATATAACAAGTCTCTCTTACAAATGAGACATMTGTGTTTCAATGAGAATAATCTGCATAAATAAAGGAAATAAAATGACAGATTTTAACGAGGGTGCAGGTCCTTGTCTCTACTTCACATACGCTGGCTCCTAAAATAGAACAAAGATCATTTTGTCTTCACTTGAAGAGGTGGAGAAGATGAAGATGCTTCCATCTTTAATAACGCTGACTTTAACTTCATTAAGTGAGTCTGGGGTTACATGAAGAGGCAGCACCGACATCCCATGAGAGGAAACCCAGGATGGAGGAGGAGGTGGAGGGAGCATRGCTGTGGTGTTTGGATCAAAACATCTTATTGATATTTGATAAAAAAAATAAATAAAGAGCTTCTGCAAAAACTGTTTAAAAACAAGCGTGAGCAGCAGCATTCGGCCCGGCTCTCACAGGAGCTTTAAAAACAATTAGGACACAATAATGCATCTCTGCCCCTGTTGGTTTGAAACGCCACGAGRCAATTAGCTTTTAACGGCGTCGTCCTGTTCTTTGTTCCTGCAGTYAAGGCCGCCGCTCGTTCTGCTGCAGTGTTTCATTTTGTGGTGACGCAGACCGTCTGCAGAGCTGCACCTTTATAGAGAAATCAATCTCCAAGCAGGTTTTTGTCAAACCCCACGGGCTCGGCTATTGGTTTGGAAAGCCTCTGTCTGCTGATGTGTGTGTGTGTGTGTGTGTGTGTGTGTGTGTGTGTGTGCGCGCGCACACTGGAGTTGGGAAAGCTCTCAGTTTTTTGTTTAATAGAGCCACCCAAGTGTTGAGAGTCTCTGTGTAGGTAAACAAAAGAAACTCCTGTCAGAAAACACAGTTTCCTTTGATCAAAGTCAAAAACTGTTTCTGACATTTGATATAAATGTGAAAATAAAAGCAGCTGGTTTCAGTTTGTTAAAAAGGCTGCAAAATCTGAAATATTTAATGGACCACGTCGCAATAAAATGCAGGTTTGTGAAGAAGAAACAGGAAAAATAAAAACTAATGAAAGCTTCATCATCATGTGTGAAACCTTTAAAACAAGAAGTTTCTTTAAAAAGCCTCACTGGACCTCTTAGTTCTTTAAAGTACCTGCCACTTGAGCATGGTATAAGCTGTTAAATGATATGTGTGTGTGTGTGTGTGTGTGTGTGTGTGTGTGTGTGTGTGTGTGTTAGAGGTGCAGCAGCCTCTAAATTCCATCATGAGACACATTTGATTAAAATTGCATGACTCCTGCCTGAGGTGGAAACAAAAAAAAAATCTGGAAAAATCTTTGTCAAACGAATTTCATGAGGCTGAAGATGAGGTGTGAAAACATTTCCTCCAAAAAAAAAAAATAAAAATAAACCTGTTACAAAAACAAAACAGAAAAACACAAAATATTAGATATTTCCTGACTCGTGYCAGATCAGTGGGGAGGGAAATGGGGACGGGGCCAGAGGAGAACTGATTGGCCACACCCAGATGATTAATAAGTGGGTGCGGTTTGCATGTGGCATTTTAAAAATGGGCATTTAATGACAAATGTTTTTGCTAGTTTTGTTAGCTTTCAGAACGTTTTGGTTTAATTTACACCATATTTCAGCTGAGTATTTCTAAAACTGGCCAAGCTTTAACCATTAGAAATTAGTTTTTTCAGCCATCTTGGATTTTGTATTTGAAATCAGATTTTGCTAAAGATTGTTTTGGATGTTTTCYTTAGCAGTTACCTTAGTTGAGATTAACAATCAGCTTGTTTTTTTATTTATCTCTCTTATATAAATTCACACGCAAAATWTTAGCTTAATATTTCTTKCAACAGCTAAAACAGAACCTTTTGTCAGTTGTTTAAAAAAACAAACAGCTTGGCCACCCCTGTGCGACCCCCATGCCAACATGTCTAGCTCCGCCCCTGGAGGGAAATAGGTTTACTGTTTGATACCTCTYGTCTGAAGTCCTGGTCCGCAGGTCTCTTGTGCACCAGGAGCGTCCTTCCTGAGAAACCACGGGACCAGCTGGCACTTCCTCCATTTGTGAGATTTCCACCTAAGAATGCATTCAGACACGTTAACGCAAAAAAAACCAACAACTTTATTTTGAAACAAAAACCTGGTTCTGAGGTCTGACTCAGAAAAACTGACAGCATGTAGAAACTGTGTAAATATTATTTTATTTGCTCTAATTGTTATGTTTGAAGTAAGTGACCAGCTAATAAGTCTTTCTTTCAAAAAAGCAGCCCGACTAACGAGGCACAGAGAGCCCTGCGGCAGATGGTGGGACCCACAAAGAACCCTGATCTGAAGTCAGCCTGGGATTAAACTCAGATCCACAGAAAGGCTGTGAAAGTAAAGAAAGTTCTGTTTGCATCTAAAGAACACCATCTGCTGACCCGATTAAAGTCAATTCTGCTTTTTAGTGTCAGCTTTTCTTTACATTTACCTCTCAACTGATAAATGGTTCACATTTGTGTTGCAACTTTTCAACCTCTGCAGGTTCTGCAAAGTGCAGGGCCTCCGAGTCGCCTACAGTTAGTTCAGCTGTTAACAGGAAGGTGCATCAACCTGAATCCTGGGCAGATCTTGGGGACCTCGCAGTCCCGCTCCTCTTCCAGCACCTCGGGACACTCCTGTCCTTCGTTGGACGGCGTCTGGATGACGAGACGTTTACGCGTCTGCTTCCTCTTCACAACGTTGCCGGCTGAAACAGACAATTATCAGACTGAAAAAAAAAGTCTGCAACAGACGCTGTTAAGAGCGACTTCCACATCAACAATGACGTAAAAACAAACTCCCATTATTTCTGGTTATGGACTCAGATGTAGTATTTAAATGAGTGGAGAGGTCCTCGGATAATTTATTAAGATGAAACGAGCCTCTGGACGGTCATAAATCCTGCTCACAACCTTCATCCGWGCAGCACAAGGTTAAAATATCAACTCCGGTGAATTAAAATGCGAAGCTGCCGGTCCGGAACACTTCATCTGCGTCGCCCCGGCGAGGTTATCAAAATATGGATGAGAATGATTTTCTGTCATAAATCAGTTTAATGTTTTTATTTTCTCTGGTCAAAGGCTGCCCGACGGTAACGACCTCAACTGAAAATGTTTTTCCTTTTGCTGTGCGGAAACAACAACAACAKGGAGCACTTGTTGACACGTGTAGCCACAGGCGAGCAGGTTTTACTGAACGAGGTCAGCCTGTCTCACACATGTCCATCTGTCACATTATGTTTAACAAGARGCTCCAGAACATTCAGGGGAGACAAAACAATCAATTAAACCTGCAACAGCTGTGCGTTTAATTGATCATTTTACAGGTTTTAAAGCAAATATATTGATTTAAGARCAGTAATTATCAGGGTTTTAGACTTTTAAATAACTTTTATTTAAAAAAAACTTTTTTTTTGTTTGTAAGAAAAATACACAGGTGCCATCAGGTTGTGAAGTGAGAGCAGTCGGGCAGTAAGTCTTACCTGCATCACAGGTAAGTGGACATTCGGTCCAGTCGCTGAACGGCGTGACGATGCAGTCCTTCTTACAGGGCAGCTGACACGGTCGCATGGTGCTCGGGCGGGGGGTGTCTGGACACCTGGACAAACAAAACAGAGGCTKATTTTTTAAAACTTTCATTGAAGCTGGTCTTTTATAAAGTACCCTAAAGTGATACTTGAGTAAAAGTACAAATATGTTACCAGGGGTAGAGCCAGAGGGGTGGCCAGGCCGGCACCTGATTGGCCACAGCCTTATGATTGACAGGTGGGTGGGAATCTTGAATATTGTATTTAGATTTGTTTAAAACATTGTTCTCTGATATTAATGTACTGAATAAAATTTCAGCTTTGTCTAAAAATGGCAGAAAAATAAAAATTAGCATTAGCGATTAGCTTAATTTGGGATTAGCATTGGCAAATCAGCATGTGATCGCTCTCAGGTACTCCACAATGAATTTCATCTCAAAAAAGTCTTAAAATAGCTGAATTATAGCCTTTATTAGCTAAAGCAGCCATCCTGACTTTTAAATTATCATCATCATCATCATCATCGTTTATTTATAAAGCACAATAAAAACCAAAGTGCTGTACAGGAGCATAAAATAAAAACAATGAACAAAGTACAGTAATGAAATGAACAATAAAATCAAACAAAACGGCAAAGGCTGGCCTTAAACTCATTTAGAGACCCAGCAGACCTCACAGACAGTGGGAGGTTGTTCCAGAGCCGAGGTCCTGCAAC